AGAACGACTATCAGTACCCAGCACACGACGACGAATTTCGTCATTGCTCAGCCGGTGTTCCCACCAGACACGAGCAATGCTTCGAAGGCATCGGTGGNCCGACTAGCATCCTCCGTTTGTAGAGGCCAGGGCTTGCAATCGTAAAGTAGAACAATACGGAACGCTGCGATGTACACCCCTCCCTTAAGGGACAGTCGGATGTCACGGCGGCGCCATGTGTCGCAGGTTGGCGAAAGATGCTCTAGCTTTCGCTAGTCGTGATGTGATCTTTTGCCCAACCCGACCTCCAGCTGCGATTAAGTTCCCGAGGTACTCAAAGCTCTCGACCATTTCCAGCTGATCACCACAGAGGGTGAGTGCAGGCACACGCTCCTGCCAGTCTTGAACCAGCACTTTGCACCTTGATGGTGCAAAGCACATACCATACCTGGATACTTCTATCACCAAGTAGTGTAAAGCTTGTTGGACTGCCTGTGCATTATCACCCAGCAAGGCGATGTCATCGGCATATTCTAAGTCAAGGACTTCGTTCCCTGTGAGGAGTTTGACTCCCCCGTTTGCTAAACAGGACAAAGGGTCCTGAAGAGCATCTTCTATGGCGAAGTTGAAAAGGAATGGGGATATAGGGCAGCCTTGTCGAAGTCCACTGCAGACGGCGAAGGGTGGTGAAAACTGGTCATAGGCCTTGACCCGACCTGAGGTATGACTATACAACTCTTTGAGGATCGACACACCTCTCTGGCACATCATTCCTCAACAGACAGCTCCATTGTGCGGTCCTATCAACAGAATCGAAGGCCGCACGAATGTCCAAGAACACAATGATCGTTGGTCTATGGTAAGCATGACGGTGCAATATGTCACAAAGGGCGTGGCTGCATACAAGACTGCTGATTGTGCCACAAAAGTAATCCGCTATAATTAATTCCTGACCATTTAGTTTCAGAGCGGGAGTAGGCGACACCCAGTCCTGCAGCATCACTTTGCACTTTGAAGGTGCAATGTGGCAACCGCATTTGTTAGTCCACCAAGTGCGTTTTGCGCATCCCGCGTACATCCGAACAGACAGACATCGGAACTGATACGCAGCACCACAGACCAACTTATTCAGGGAACTGAGCAAAAAATGCAAAGGTGGGTTGAACACTTCGACGGGCTGCTCAACCGCCCATCAAACTAAGCTGGCTCTCTACAGGTGTCAAGCAGTTCGGAGACTTACATCAATTGTGACCCACCTAGTACGACAGAAATCATCAGTGCAGGCACTCCTCTGAAAAACAACAAGGCCCTGGAGAAAACGGGATACCACCAGTTATTCAAAGCTTGCTTGCTAACTCTGATCCATCCGTAGACAAATAGATTAGTAGACTAAATTCAAACGACTCAGGGAAAATAACGGATCACAACACTGAATTAGTACATTTTATTCTCTTATTTACCGTCATTATCATACGAATACAGTACAGTGAATACAGCGAAGCAAACTCCACTCATTGCTGCCGAAAACACCATATACACCGTGAGAAAGAGCAGTGGGTGGGAATTTATTCCGTCTTGAAGAAGGAAACAGAAAGCGAACCACTGCGGTCAACACAGAGTCTACAGTCGAACAGTGCACACGTTTTCGATCTAATAGAATGACAAGAATACCAATGTCTGCTAACTGTCATGACCTTCGTTACCTCCAACACTCTAGATATCATTCTGGAGTCTACCAACTAGAACGTAACTGTTTGGAGATCGGATACAAAAGATGAAAGTGGCTCCGTTTAGAAAAACAAAAATGATCACTTACCAGATGTTCTCGATGGCAGATTTCGGTTGGCATCAAAAACATCACGTCGCCGAGACTGAGATTGATTGATTAACGCAGCTGCTTGGGCCGCCGCTTTGGCAGCTTCCACAGCGGTGCGACGTGCACGCTTTAGCACAGCAAGAGCGGCGGAGGAGGATACTGTAGTAGCAGATGTGTTGGGACGAGGTTGTCGGCCACGCAAAGTTCGAGTTTGCCTGCGTCCTGGGGAGCCCGTTGTATTTTGAAGTCTGAGCCTTCGCTGTAAGCGAGGTCGAGCAGCCAGAACACGAGTTCGAAGTCTATCGCGTCTTGTTGGTGCAAGAGGTTTCTTTAGAACATTTTTTCGCTGCTCCTTCTGCAGCTTGATGATATCATCTGCAAGAACAAACGTAGAGGCGGGAAAAAATCTCAACTAAATTCGAACAAAGACAATCCATTGGATCACTTACAACATGCAGTCAGGGAAACTTTCGACGAATTGGTCCATTTATTCTATAGCTTGAATATAACAAAACGCCATCGAAAATGGCTATCCTTTTTTATTCACTCGCCTAAAATATCCATGATTTAGCGTGTTATCCGGGGCACTGTGGGGTTGTTGTGTCCCACGTTAAGTACGGAGATAAGCGAAGTGAATAAAGCAACATGTTCACTGTAGATGGAAGATATGTAGCTGGTTCATAGACCGGGGAGCAAGCTGAAACGGACATGTAGGAAGGAAGGCAGACCGACAGAGGCTCACACATTTAAGCATTCAGCCAATCAATCAATCTGACCACAGGCATGTATGACAAACGTATCAGATGTAGGAAACGAACATCTTCCCTTTCAATTTTTTTCATTACACCCACGTGTGATGAACAGCAGACGGGGCGAACCCCACAGTTACGAGGACATGCTGTTCATTGGCTAAATCGTCCTGGACATAAATCTTGCAGTATTGCAGTGTGGTCTTTTCTTTTGATACAGTTGTGTTTGTCTAGGCATATACGAAACACACTGCAGTCAACCGATGGTCACATCACCTCCGCTTCCACATATAAACCGGAAATATATCTCCCTACTTAACCTGGAACAAAACAGGGATGAAAGCAGATAGCGTATTAGTTTAATGTGGAAAGCCGCTGTGATTTCTTACCTCAATAGGCTCATAACCATCATCACCATCATCGTATAGCGAAGTGAATTTCGCTGATCGCTGCTAAGCTCTCAATGTACATAAAGTGAGAAAGTAAGAGATGGATATGGTTTGGGCCTAACTGAAGGGAAGCAAAGAAAGTGAACATCTACGATCAACACAGCACACAATCAAACTCTGGATGCATACCGTTTCAAGCATTCTGGTCTGTTAAGAAATGACAAGAACGTCACTGCTGTCGGTTATCTGTCATTTCCTTCAGTGATTCCAAACAACCAGTCTTTTAGACTTCAATCTGGAAGACGGGAAGCGCCTACTCTTCTCAACCACACTGAATTTCATGTCTCAGCATGGCATCCTGGAACCTGGAGACGCAACTGCGTTGTTAGACGCCATGGCGAACACTAGCAGTATACTAGCTTTACTTCATACTTTAGTGATAATCATTAGGAATGTATCAAAAAAATCAAGAAGTACACGATATAGCCGCACATATACACCCATTCAAGTACTGACCTGATAAGAAATGACAAGAGAACGCCACTGATGTTGGGTCGCTGTCATGTCCTGCGGTGTTACCAACCTTCAGACCCTACCTCCGAAAGCCTCAATATAGTCGGGAGTGGGTATATTGGAATGTGGCTGATTACCCTTCCTTTGCACCTGGTGAAATGCTTCTGCACGACCAAGCGTCTCACATAGCCTCTGCTGAAGCACCTCTTACTCAATTCACTCCGCTGGGTTTCCCCACTAATGTAAGGAAGAAAAGTCAACATCCAGAGCAGAAACCGCATCGGTATACCAATGGCAGTTTACCCACAGAAGTCCGTTAAAAACCTGGATTCCAAACCAACAAAGACGAAAGAATCACACGCACCTATACTTTCCCGGTTGTGACAGAGGTTACCCGCTCAATTGGGCGGTAATTTGGGTGTATAATCCGATGAACAAGACAAAGTTCCCAATGGATTACCCGCAGGTTAGAGAATTAAACTCATCGGAAGCCGGCTTAGGTAGAAATTTGGCTCTAGCTTACCATCGAACTGCTAATGGAGATCGATTTCATTAATTCTGCGCAAAACACCATCTGTTCCTGGTCCGTATCAGCTTCCGACAGCTCTCGACGGAGGGCAACGTGGTGCTTCAATTCAACTGGTAATTTGGCTCATATCGGCTACGCGGCAGTAAGCCACCATTGACATGGTTCAAGTTTAAATAGCAGTTCTGACCGGCCTACCCGCGCGAAGTCTAATTCCGTAGTTTTGG